TGTATTCTTCACCTGGTACTTTACAAACATGATGTGCAACTGGTGGTTCGTTTGTCCATGATCTGCTAGCATCAGGCCACATTCTATTGCAATCATCAGGATGAATACAAAGACCTTGATGATCGCGCACAAGGGGCTTTTTGCAAAAACATCCAGATTCATAAACCAATGGACACATACGATGTCCATTGTCGTCTTTGTTGGCACATGTATCGGGACACGGGCTACCGTACACCTGATATTCTTCACCTGTTACTTTACAAACAGGCTGTGCAACTGGTGGTGCATTTTCTCCGGTTCCCCCACCACGATGCCACATTTCTGCATATTATATATAACAACTTATTATTTGATCGTGATACTTAATTAATTAATTTTATAGGCAATGTTTTAAATTTTAAATATATATTGTATTAAATGACATAAGGATTTTTGTTGATCTCGGAAGTATATTAAAAATAGGTTATATATTTAAATTAGCATTATTTGTTTTACTAACCTGATTGTCTTGCATAAGCAACGCTTAACAATAATGTAAAAAATAAGACACAATTCGCCATTATTGACAATTTTTAATTAACTGTGTTTGATATAAAATATGTTTTAAAATAATTAATATTAATTATACACATATATTAATAAAATTCAATATATAACATTCAATATAGTATGTCAATCAATAATAATTAAATTTTTAAATATAATTTAAGAATATCATAAAGTTATTAGAATGTGTTTTATACAGTATATGCGCTAAATTTAAATAATGGATTTTAAAAAATTATCTGTCATGTTTAGAATTATGTTTTAATTTAGTAAATGTAACACTTATTATTTAATTAAAATTAATATTAAATATGTGAAATTTACTAAAAAAATTGTGCAAATAAATTAACATTTAATTACATAAATTATTGATATTTATAAATTCCACTAATGTTGTACTGTTTGTTACTTTTGTATAAAAGAAATAATATTTAATCTAAAATAAATCAAAATGAATAATTATTTAATCTGAATAGATTTCATTAAAAATAAATATAATTTATTTTTTAAAATAAACTAAATAAAGTCAAATTAATAATCTTAACGTAATTGATTTACTAATTGTTGAATTTTGTTATTTTATTTCGTTAATTAGTTTATTTACAATAGTTAATTTAAATAAACAAAATTAATATGATCAAATTTTAAATAATCATTAACAATCCGAGGGTGGTACGCAAAACCCTTCATAATCGCGCACGAGACCCAGTTGACAAAAACAACCAGTAACACATCCCATTGTGCACATCAACTTTTGACCCAGGTTGGCACATGTTTTGGGACAACTGGTGCCGCAATTAGTGATCAACTCCCCTGGTCGATTGCATGGGCGTGATGGGAATCGTCCATTGCCCGGAAACAACACTGGTCCCCGGTATCCTTGTTCACCAAGTACAATTCCTGTTTAATGTAGATAGATTAATTTATAATTTAATTAAATAGTGATTAATATTGATTTATTCATTATGATTTTGTTTGTAAAGTGCATAGATTACTTTTTGGTATTTATACTAGTAACCTATGCTGTTTATTGTGGCGAATAATTTACCAATTTAATTTTTTATCGGTTTTTTACTAACCTGATTTTGCGTAAGCAATGCATAACATTAAAGTAATAAATAAAAAACTATTCGCCATGTTATTTTTTTTATTGACTTTAATAGTTATAAATCTTATGTTTTATATGATAAATAAAATGAACTATAAATATTTTAATTACAATTTTATTAATATACTTAATTAAAACTTTTCTAGAAATTTATACATTTACTTGTTATGTATTAAAAATATTAAAATTATTTAAAATAGTATCTAATAATAAATCAACGTTAATAATATTAAAAATAAAATAATACTCTATTTAGTTAAAATGTCAATTAATCATATTTGATGTTTCTAGTAATTTATTTATGATATTTTATTAGTTAAAAATTTTCATACAATTTTAACGCAAATTTTTATAACACAAACAAAACATTTTGCGTTAGGATTGGGAAAGGAAGAGAATGAAAAGGTTATTAATTAATAAGTTATAAAATTTAGTTTCAATTTAGTTATTAATTTAGTTTTAAAATAATTTTTGATTGCTTACAAAATAGCGGACAATAAATTTTTATAATTGGCATGTTTTTATTTTTAAAGCATCTTATTTTCGCACATAAAAATTGTGCTTAATCACAAATGTGCGTAGGTAAAACAACAACTTGCTATTTAATAGCAAAAACAACATGATCAGGATATATTATTTGTCACATGATAAAGTTTAAGATAGAAATAATAATTATATATTTTGACCACATTGAGAGAGTAAAATAAAGTATCAATTTAAATTTTTGTTGACAACTGGCTGACAACTATCATGAAACAAGAAAGTTAAATACACTAATCTAAAAATACAAATAAATTAATTGGTAATGGGAAGATTTAATCTTTTTTGTTATGTTTGTAAAAGCAAAAAATTTATATATTATTCTTGGTATTATTCACTACTTTTTTTTGTAATTTATATTATTTGCTACACAAAGAATAATAAAAATTAACTGATAAATCATTATTTAGTTAATTAAATAAACACGTTATATAATTTTTCTTTGTATATAAAGTAATGACATCCTGGTAAAATGACTAGTTATATATACAGTTCAATTCAATCATCTCATAATCTTAGGTACATTGCATTCTGTGTTGAATATTCATATAGTAAATAATCGTACTAATACTATTGAATTATGGATATATGGAATTTTCCTGAAATGTAATACTATAATTATAAAGCATAATTATCTAAATTAATTATCATAATTATCTAATTAGCTTTACATTATATTAACGTTGATATTAAAGACTCTATAATATCAACGTTAGTATAAAATAAATATTCTTGCTTAAAACATTAACATTATAATAACAAACATGTTAGACTTTAAGTTGGTAAAAAGTTTGAGTATCAACGATATTAGGAATCATTACTGGTTCACATTTATTTTCATGCATTATTATCATGTATGGTATTTGATTGCCGTAATTGCGGTAATGACTATACTATACAATTATATGTAAGTATTTAATTGTGGTAAATTAAATGTCATATTAAACACCATATTTATTACAGGAAGTGGAGGCGTATACTGAGCTATTGGGAAAGGGTAAACATACCGGGCCCGACACCGGTCCCAATCTATGGCAACGTATTGGCGCTGAGTCTAAATCCCAGACCATATTTGGAGCTCAAGTGGTATAAAAAATATGGCCGAATATACGGGTAAATACACAACTTATTAACTAATTAATTAAACTAAAAATTAGTACATTATTAACTAAAAATTGAGTAGACTGTATTTAGATTTAGTGTGCGCAGAAATTACTCCTAACTACTTCCTCACATCTGACCCTTGTGTTGTAGTTTATACATTATTCATATGTTAGTCACATATACTATAGTGTAGTTTAATATAAAGTCAATATTTTAAAACATCTTTCATTTAATAAACATGTTATATTAAAAATACCCCTTATTTCATCATGAACTCTTTTAATTTAAGTTATTTATAAAATAGTGTACACATATACAGAAAGCCCAGTTTGCGTGTGGCGGAGCCGGCGCTAGTCAAACAAATCCTGGTCCAAAAGTTTACCTTGTTCAAAAACCGTGAGGCACCTAGTTGCAGCAAAGCTACCCTGATGTCCAAAATGCTTATACGGGCCCCGTATGAGGACTGGCGCCGCATACGAGCCATAGCGGGGCCCGCATTCACCGGCGGTAAACTTAAACGCTTGTACCCACTCATTGACCGGTGCTGTCGAGATTTGGTAGACAGACTGGACAGTCGGGTCGCCGCCAACGGGTCGCCGGTAGGGCTGCGGCCTTTGATTAGCGAGTATATAATGAGTGCTTTGGGTCAATGCGCGTTTAGCACCAAGGTCAACACCGATCCCACCCACTTGTTCACCACCGAACCGGAGGGTTATCTATCTGTGTCCCTATTGAAAGTACTGGTGGCCAATGTTTTACCCGCGTGTTTAGTTGATAACCCTGTGGCCAATAGTCTGGCCAAATGGTGGCACTCGGACTACTTGTATCACAGGGTATTCACCGCCGGTCTGATGGCTGACCGCCGGTGCGACGACGCGGACAAACGCCACGATTTCCTACAGTTCCTAATGAAAGGCAGTCACCGGACCGACGGTGCGGCCCATCCGGACGTCACCGGCATTACCGACGAAGAGATCTTTGCCCAGTGTTTCCTGTTTTTCATCGCCGGTTACGACCCGACGGCCAACACTGTGTCGCACGCGTTGCTAGAGTTGGCACTCAATCCCGATATACAGGAACGGCTCCGGGAGGAGACAGCTATGAATGGTAACCGAGACATGAATTATGAGATACTTTCACGACTACCACTGCTCGACGCCGTCGTATCGGAAACCCTACGAAAGTATCCGCCATTAGTTCGAGTGGAGAGGGAGGCCGTGGAGGACGTGGTGCTCACCGACGATACCCAGGGGTTGAGTGTGAGGGTTGAGAAGGGAGTGGTAGTAGAGGTCCCGGTGTATGCCATACATCACGACCCCGATTACTATCCCGACCCGTTTGCTTTCAAACCCGACCGATTTTTGCCCGAAAATCGCCATAACATCAAACCCTATACATACCTTCCCTTTGGCGACGGACCCCGTAATTGCATTGGTATGCGCTTCGGTCTGCTGATGACCAAATTGGCCCTGGTCAATATTATACAACATTTCCATTTATATCACGTAACTGATGCCAATGCGAGTGTTAAATTTAAGCGCGGTAATTTTGTGGTGCAGTCAGAAATGAGTCAAGTCGGCTTTAAAAGGGCTGTTCAAATGGGTGCTTACTGAATGATTAAGACTGTTCATCTCATACAGCATTATGTATGATTTATGAATTATGCACATGTATGATGTAATGTAAAGTGTGCATGTGCATTTGCATGTGGATTTATGTATGACTTGTAGCTCGTAGGTCAGCGTAATACATAATCAAACTTGTTATTTCACCATAGATTGCATACAGATTGTACAGCGCTCTCTTAGGTTTAATTTATTTTTAGTAAATGATATTTTGATAATTAATCAAATAAATTGTAACTAAAATTTATTAAAAGTATAGTTTGTTAGTAGGTTGTTAGGAGATTGTCAGGTACGATAAACCACACTTTTACTTTATAATTGTGGTTAAAAAAAGTTGAGCAAATTTAAGATAATTAATCCTATTTGAAAATGTAAGTAAAACTTGTAATTCAAGTGATTATATGGCAAATATAATGCACTTTTAGTGATAGTAATTATCAGTAGATATAATCTAAACTCTTTGCTATTCATACATTACTTTCCCTCCCTTTTTCATTAAATTATCATATTTTTTGTTGAATTCAATAAATAGTAAATTGTTTAACAAAAAAGTGGTTGTATTTTAAAGTGTTTTTTGTTGTAAATATTGTCATTTGATTCACTCATTAAACACCATATATCACAAGATATCACAAGAAATGCCGGGTTTTGACGCCAAAGACATTATAGGACTGGAGGACTGGTTGGCCAAAGAGCTGGAGTGCCGACAATGTATGCATATATTGAACAACGCGGTGGACATTGAGTGCGGCCACTATTACTGCAAGCAATGCATCGAGAGTTTAGTGAAGGGCTGGGAATTGAGGGACGGGCGCTGGTTTGGCGCCGTTCAGTGTCTGCATTGCAAACACCGGTCAGTTGTCGCCGTCGACCGCAATAATCAATACAATCTAAAGACCAATATTGCAATCAATAGTATTGTCGGCAAACTTAGGATCAAATGCCGGTTTGCAGACAATGGCTGCGAAGCGGTGGTCGAGACAGCACTACTGGCCGACCATTTGGCCCAATGTCGGCACAATCGGCGTTCAAAACGTGGCCTAACTCTGGCCGATGGCGACCCGACTCACGACTGCGGCCATGAGTTGAAGAAGAAGAAGTGCCACGGATTGAGCGATAAGGTGGCAGATATAGTATTGAAGTGTGAATCATATACTTGTGGTGTCAATGTTGTGACCGATGCCCGGGTTAGCCCACCCGTGCCAACAGTTGCCGACCTCGACCTCCCGCTGGCCACTCGTCAAACAGCCAATCAGTGAATAGATTTCTGCTGATTTTAATCAGTATATTATGTAATAACTCTTCAATTGTTTTATTAATTTTTCAAATCATTTTTTAATATTTCATTTTTTTAATCGTGTTTTATATGTGTAAAAAATTTAATGATTAATGTTTAGTCTGTTTTCAATTAGTAAAAGTATTATATATTTATAGTTAATAAAAAAACTGCATAAATAAAACAAAAACTCTGATAAATGTAATTTTTAGTTTAATAATTAATGATTTTAATGTTTAATTTACTAAAATTCAAACACTTATACAGCAGGGTCTCTCTGAGTGTCAGTGTGACCACCTCTAGGTTTAAAAATAGAGAACATTTGACCAAATTTCCTTTAAAATAGAGAACAAATAGAGAACACATATTATTCGTTAATTTTTCTTCTAAATTTAAAAATCGAGATTATTTAATACTAATGTTGAAGTAAGATTTATTGTGTTTGGTGTATAAAAAATGACAATTATTAATCAGAAAAGTGTCAATTCCTTTAGAAAGTTTATTATTGTATAGCTAAATAAATATTTTATAATTTTAGTAAAATTCCTATCATTTATTTTAAATTTAAAATAGAGAACAGTTCTCTATTTTGTCCAAATACAAGTCCAAATAGAGAACTGTTTTCTGAAATAGAGCACAGGTGGTCACGCTGTATGTATGCCATCACACAATGTAAACTTATATTATAGTCATTTAACCAAATAATAATGTGTTTTGAATTTTTAAACATAATATTATGTATTAATTGCATAGCGAGTGGCAGAAGAAGTATTTGTTGGGCGAAAGTGACGGCACAACTGGTTTCGACAAAATGCTCGTAAAGGCTATGAAACTAATTAGAGTTATGCTGACGGCTAACCAGTTTGTACGACAAGTGATGTATTGCGTCGGTTGGATCGGCACATACCTGACCGCCAATCAGACAAAGTTTAATAACAAACTTATGAAGAGTATTGGTATCAGAGGTTGGTTTGAGAGAGAACGAGAGAGAGAGAGAGAGAGAAAGAGAGAGAGCGAGAGAGAGAGAGAGAGAGAGAGACTTGACTTCTACATTAGATATCAAGTGATAATTAAAAGCAGACAATGAAAGTGAAAGCGAACCGACAATCTATGGCATAGACTCTACCAATAGTGATAGTCCCGGGTCTTCAAAGGGGTACACAATGTATGGGATTGTATGGGAGGTGTGAGCCATATAAGCACTTGTAGTGGGGGTCCGAGTGAGTGGTTGTGTGGGAAATGAGTTTTTAATATGCATTGTGTTATTGACCTCTCGTTTAGAAATCAATTAAACAATTAGTGAATTACAGTACACTATGTATGAGAGGGACGGATAGGTGTGGGAGGGATCGTAATGTTGCAAAGGAAGGGCCAACATATACCCAGTGACAGCACCTGCATATAAAAGCTTGAGATGAGAATCAGTGTTCAATTAAATTCATATGTGAATTGTATTGATTGTTATTCTATACTCGCAATTAAACACAACATCTTATAAGATATCGCCAGAAATGCCGGGTTTTGATGTCAAACGATTGATGGGAGCGGAGGACTGGTTGGCCGAAGAGCTGAAGTGCGGCAACTGTATGAATATATTGAACAACGCGGTGATCATTGAGTGCGGCCACAGTTACTGTCGCGACTGTATTGACGGTCTAAGAGAGACCGACGTCATTAACCTTTTTGTCAACAATATTGTCAGTAAACTGCGGTTCAAATGTCAATTCGCCGATAATGGCTGCAATGCGGTGGTCAGGAGCGCACTTCTCGCCGATCACGAGGCCGACTGTCCGTACAGTATGTGCCCGAAGTGTGACCTGTCTTTCAACGATAGCGTGGGTCACGACTGCGTCCAAAAGTTGCAGCTAAAGAACCGGGAATTGACTGATAAGATGGCAGATATGGATGTGGTTATGGATGACTCTGAATCTCTATACCCGGATGTGGACAGTGACCGACCACCAGTACTCTCATCGCAATCCATGGCAACTCAATTTGATCATCATTTCGCTCAACAGTTTGTTTTGCTATTCAATTATTTAATGAAACAACAGTTTAATTGCTTTATTTTTTCTATCATAATACTTTTTTTTGCATATTTTTTATTCTATTAAATTTTTTATGAAGATCTTAATCATTAATTAATATTTAGTTTATGATTATTTTTTAGTTAATAAATGTCTCATTCAAATGTAACCAAAAAACAATTTTTTATAACAAAATAAACAATGTTTTAATATTTGATTCACTAAACACTGTAATTACAATAAATGAAAAATTTCTACCAATAAAATTTAATAATCATGATAATCCTGGTAGTTTGGTTTAAAGTAGTAAAGTAGATTAGAGTAATTTAATAAGCACTCGGATGGCTCAACACAATGATCAGGGTCTTTACGTACGAGTCCATCGTTGCAAAAGCAGCTATACTTCTTACACGGTTTGGCACATATGGCCACTCTCTCGGGTTGGGCACAAGTAGGCTCACACCGGGTGCCACACTCTTCGTAGTGTTGGCCCGAACCGCACAATGAGGCACCTGTTATGAGGTTATATGGTTTACTTAACATGTTTAATTATGGTTAATGTAATATAAATTACTTGCTGTACAGTGTAATATAATTTAAAGCATACCTGTGCCGGCGATTAGCGCTATAAACAGTACTAGCGAGATAATTCTGACCATGATTATATTTGTTTACAAATAACTCGCATATGGTATGAAAAATATGTGTGGATTTTAATTAATTAATTACATTTCAACACTTAATTAGATTATAAACTTATTTTCATACTATGTCCCAATCATGGTAATAGTCGCTATAAATTATCACCAATTAATTTGCCTAAATTTTCGCCAATATTAATGTGAATTTATTAAACTTTTGTAACCAAAATTTATTTATAATATCTATGGTTATACTTTGACATCGGGCTAATGTTATTCTATGAGATAATGCTTTTCCTATGTAATTCTATATAGAATATGAGCATCACTAGAATTGTGATTAACCTTTTGATACCAGGTGTGAATCAAGTTTATTGTAATGAATTAATTTCACTGACTGCTGTTAGGCCAACAAGTTGAATATACTCAAGAATGTACTCGTGAGTGCAACGGGTACACTGTACCCAATGCACTACCCATACTGCTGTACCTGCGATTAAGCATACACTGTATAAAACACTGATGTAATTCTGATGTAATGTTTAGTCACTAAACTTTAGTGTATGTATTGATTACTGGGTGCAAAATTGCATGCGCGCACACCATAAACATTGGGTTATGCAATAAGATACGAGTGTAAAAGGATCAAGGTTATTGTTTTGTGTGTTGATATAAAAATACTCGTGTTTTACCATAATTTCTTTATATTCATTGATACCGAATGGCATTCAGTAAACTAAAAATGTTTAAAGTGATGAAGATTGCAATGGAAGTGTTGTATATGTTGTCATGCAATGTCTGTATATACATGATTGTCAAGTATGGCATAGACTTGTACGATAGGCCCGATAATAATATGGATAAAGGTAATTTATAATTTTTTTTATCAACATGTTATATCTAACAAATATACAATTAGAAGTGCAAAAATGTGTTGCAAAATATAGTAAAATAGTTGTTGGGATTAACTAATGAAATGCAACACTAATTGTGTGCATCACTTATTAGTGAATTTTCATTTTGGAAAAAATCATCTCAATAATTTAAATTAATTATTAACGGGGAAATAAATATGTAATTTATGTCTAGTTAACAATATTAATTATTCTTATTCATACAGTGGTGCTAAAAAAGTTCATCATCGGTGCCGTAGGGCTACCAATATCGATGATAGGTCTGGTGGCTTCAGTTAAGGAACATAATTTCACCCTGATAGTTATGCTGGTACTGGTCATCATTAGCACCATCTCAAACGTGATGCACAAAGAGTTTGGGTCCAACTTTTGGAGCCACGCTATTACCACTGTGCTTACCGGTGCTTATGTGCACTTGATCATTGAGAAAGAAAAGTACCACGCTTAATTTAATGTATAAATCAGTGTTTGTTTAGTAAATGTATGGCTGTTTTTATAAGAAATGTATAATTATTTAAATATATTATGATTGTTATCCATAATTAGAAAAATAATAATTTTCATATTTAAATATCAAAATAAAATTATTGTTCAATAAATTATTTAAATAATTTTATAAAATATTGTACGAAGTGTATAAATTTAATAATTATAATTTTTAATCTAACATTGAACTCAACGTGTACCGTATTAAAGATTATGGACATTTGGGTACATATACTGTATTATTATCTCTACTATAATTCTTACTCTAAAATGTTTTGATAAACATTTATTAGTTTGAGTTCAGAGTAGATGTGTCGTGCGCATATTTATGCAAATAAGTACGGTATTTATATTACGAATAACAGCTTCAAAATTAATTATAAAAGTTAAATAATTAACAAAAAAATAAATTTATTTATTTAAATGACAATAAGAAACATTACAGTTATGAAAATACGTGATCACTTTTTATCGACATCACGCAAAACACTCTCCAAATGTGTCTTCAGGTCATCGTCGGTGCACTGGAAGTCCCTATCGGCCCAAAACAACTTCAACTCATTGAGCACACCCTTCAACGCCGCCCTATTGGGCACCGGGCGGCCAATGGCGGCGAACAAGTGGCCGGTGGGCGGGAAATCGGGCACAACTAGCGCCGCGATCTGGTCGTAGACCTCCCAATGGCCGCAATACACGGCACAGTCCAGCACTTGCCGCCGAAACAGCTGCTGCTGGTCTTTGGTGGCCAACACTATCCGTCGGCGCCACTCTTGAGCCGAAGTTTGTGCGAATGTGCGCCGATTGTGGACAATGAACGCCAGCACACGCTTCTCGGTGTTAGACAAACTGAGCCGTACGGACATATCGGCGCCGGCAGAGGGCAGCTCCCAGTCCTTGAGCACCAGCGCGGCCAACAGTGTCAGCCCATCCCAACCCCGCAGCCGACCGCTGGCCACGGCTGAGCTGAGCCGGTCGTGAACAGCCCTGAACTCCCGGAGCCGTTCACGCGTCGAGTCCGCCGGCAATGATTGGCCGCTGAGTCCAAAATACTCGCCCATTTGGAGGTCACCGAGCATTAGGTCCACAACACCGGCGCAACCGTTCACTGATAGCAGTTTCTTCAGCTCCGACCACAGGGTCTGGCTGTCGACTGAGCGCAGAAGGTGTCGCTGCTCTCGGATGGTTGTGATGGCCCGCGGGTCGTGTCCGGAGTCGCCGCTCCCGTATCGGCAATGAAAGCGCATGTATCGCATGATTGTGATCGGGTTCTGGCGTATGGCTGAGAGGCCGGTGCCGTCGCCCACGAAACAGATGGCCCGCCGGCGCAGGTGTCCGACGCCGTCGAAGTAGTCGTAGAGACCGCCCGTGAAGTCCAGATACATGGCGTTTATGGTGAGGTCCCGGTGCGCGGCATCTGTGGCATAGAGTGTATTGTGTGATATCAGTCACTTGGGATCAATTTGTCTTAAGGTATTGAACACGTGTTGTGTTGTGTTTGGGTATACCTACTGACCAGTCCTTGACAAACACCGGCAGTCCGGGCCTCTCGTCGGTCCACTTGCGCAACGCTGTGATCTCATAGTCGGTCCGGTCGTTCACTCGGGCCATAATCGTGCCGTTTCGGGCACCTGTAGGACAGACCAAATTGGGGTTAATAGTACTGAAACTCGTGGTTCAATTAGTGGAGCGCAAGACTATACCCGACGATGTGTTCAGCGCCCATATGTTGGTCCGATCTCTGGTCACCCGATATAATGGACAGCAAAATACATGTTAATGAGTGAGAGAAATAACTCGCATATGGTATGAAAAATATGTGTGGATTTTAATTAATTAATTACATTTCAACACTTAATTAGATTATAAACTTATTTTCATACTATGTCCCAATCATGGTAATAGTCGCTATAAATTATTACCAATTAATTTATGTAAATTTTTGACAATATTAATATAAATTTATTAAACCTATTTAATCACAATTTATTTATAAAGTGTAAGGCTATACTTTAACATAGGGCTAATGTTATTCTATGAGATAATGCTTTTCCTATGTAATTCAATATGAGCAAGCTAGAATATGAGCAAATGAGCATTACTAGAATTGTGGTTAACCTCTTGATATCAGGTGTGAATCAAGTTTATTGTAGTGAATTGATTTCACTGACTGCTGATAGGCCAATAAGTTGAATGTACCCATGAATGTACTCGTGAGTGCAACGGGTACACTGTACCCAATGCACTGCACCCATACTGCCGTACCTGCGATTAAGCATACACTGTATAAAACACTGATGTAATTCTGATGTAATGTTTAGTGTATGTATTGATTACTGGATGCAAAATTGTATGCGCGCACATCATAAACATTGGGTTATGCAATAAGATACGAGTGTAAAAGGATCAAGGCTATTGTGTTTTGTGTGTTGATATATAAATACTCGTGTTTTACCATAATTTCTTTATATTCATTGATACCGAATGGCATTCAGTAAACTAAAAATGTTTGAAGTGGTGAAGATTGCGATGGAAGTGCTGTATATGTTGTCATGCAATGTCTGTATATACATGATTGTGAAGTATGGCATAGAGTTGTACGATAAGTCAGATGATAATATGGATAAAGGTAATTTATAAAAATTTTTATGTACATGTTAAATCTAACAAATATACAATTAGAAATGCAAAATGTTTTGTAAACTATAGTAAAACAGTTGTTGGGATTAAATAATGAAATGCAACGCTAATTGTGTGCAACACTTATTAGTGAATTTTAATGTTGGAAAAAATCATCTCAATAATTTAAATTAATTATTTACGGGGAAATAAATATGTAATTTATGTCTAGTTAACAATATTAATTATTCTTATTCATTCAGTGGTGCTAAAAAAGTTCATCATTGGCGCTGTAGGTTTACCAATATCGATGATAGGTCTGGTGGCTTCAGTTAAGGAACATAATTTCACCCTGATAGTTATGCTGGTACTGCTCATCATTAGCACCATCTCAAACGTAATGCACAAAGAGTTTGGGTCCAACTTTTGGAGCCACGCTATTACCACTGTTCTTACGGGTGCTTATGTGCACTTGATCAGTGAGAAAGAAAAGTACCACGCTTAATTTAATGTATAAATCAGTGTTTGTTTAGTGAATGTATGGCTGTTTTTATAAGAAATGTATAATTATTTAAATATATTGTGATTGTTATCCATAATTAGAAAAATAATAATTTTCATATTTAAATATCAAAATAAAATTATTGTTCAATAAATTATTTAAATAATTTTATAAAATATTGTACGAAGTGTATGAATTTAATAATTATAATTTTTAATCTAACATTGCACTTAACGTTTGTTAAAGATTATGGACATTTGGGTACACATATTATTTATCTCTACTATAAATCTTACTCTAAAATGTTTTAAGATAAAATTTATTAGTTTAAGTTCAGAGTAGTTGTGTTTTGTACGCATATTTATGCGAATAAATACGGTATTTATGTTACGAATAACAGCTTCAAAATTAATTATAAAAGTAAAATAATTAACAAACAAAATAAATATATTTATTTAAATTACAATAAAAAACACTACAAATATGAAAAACGTGATCACTTTTTATCGATATCACGCAAAACACTCTCCAAATGTGTCTTCAGGTCATCATCGGTGCACTGGAAGTCACTATCGGCCCAAAACAACTTCAACTCATTGAGCACACCCTTCAACGCAGCCCTATTGGGCACCGGGCGGCCAATGGCGGCGAACAAGTGACCGGTGGGCGGGAAATCGGGCACAACTAGTCTCTTAATCTGGTCGTAGACCTCCCAATGGCCGCAATACAGGGCACAGTCCAGCACTTGCCGCCGTAACAGCTGCTGCTGGTCTTTGGTGGCCAACACTATGCGTCGGCGCCACTCTTGAGCCGAAGTTTGCGCGAATGTGCGCCGATTGTGAACAACGAACGCCAGCACACGCTTCTCAGTGTTAGACAAACTGAGCCGTACGGACATATCGGCGCCGGCGGAGGGCAGCTCCCAGTCCTTGAGCACCAGCGCGGCCAACAGTGTCAGCCCATCCCAACCCCGGAGCCGACCGCTGGCCACGGCTGAGCTGAGCCGGTCGTGAACCGCGCGGAACTCCCGGAGCCGTTCCAGCGTTGAGTCCGCCGGCAATGATTGGTCGCTGAGTCCGAAATACTCGCCCATTTGGAGGTCACCGAGCATTAGGTCCACAACACCGACGCAACCGTTCACTGATAGCAGTTTCTTCAGCTCCGACCACAGGGTCTGGCTGTCGACTGAGCGCAGAAGGTGTCGCTGCTCTCGGATGGTTGTGATGGCCCGCGAGTCGTGTCCGCAGCCGTGGCCGCCGTATCGGCAATGAAAGCGCATGTATCGCATGATTGTGATCGGGTTCTGGCGTATGGCTGAGAGGCCGGTGCCGTCGCCCACGAAACAGATGGCCCGCCGACGAAGGTGTCCCACGCCGTCGAAGTAGTCGTAGAGACAGCCCGTGAAGTCCAGATACATGGCGTTTATGGTGAGGTCCCGGTGCGCGGCATCTGTGCATAGAGTGTATTGTGTGATATCAGTCACTTGGGATCAATTTGTCTTAAGGTATTGAACACGTGTTGTGTTGTGTGGGTATACCTACTGACCAGTCCGTGACAAACACCGGCAGTCCGGGCCTCTCGTCGGTCCACTTGCGCAACGCTGTGATCTCATAGTTGGTCCGGTCGTTCACTCGGGCCATAATCGTGCCGTTTCGGGCACCTGTAGGACAGACCAAAACGGGGTTAATAGTACTCAACTCGTGGTTCAATTAGTGGAGCGCAAGACTATACCCGACGATGTGTTCAGCGCCCATATGTTGGTCCGATCTCTGGTCACCCGATATAATGGACAGCAAAAACATGTTAATAATGAGAGAGAGAAAGAGAGCATTATTGACACCATAACTACCTAATCATGTCTTTCATCTGATCAGGTGTGGCATCGGTGGCCAAATCCACGTCCACCGGCCTCTGACCGCACAGTAGGTCCCGAACGGCACCGCCGGCTATCCTCTAAACACACGGGTAGTCAAAGAGGTTTTGGTTCATTAGATAAGGTTAGCCATCGATGGTATGGCTGACTGTAATACCAGTTGATATCCATTGCGGGCGAATAGTGTGTCCAGAAATCGTAGATCAGGTCCGGCGACCAACTCGTCAAACAGCGGCCGAAACTGTTTGTCCGGTATTTTCCGGTGGACTTCGGCTTTAGTGATCCGCTGATCCGATACCAGACAACTGCCTCCAGAGCTGTTCCCCTCGTGGAGGCTGTGGTGGTGTTGTTGTCGCTGAAGACATGATAGGCAGTGGTGGCCACGGATGGAGGGGTTGGCCAGTAATCGGCGGATGAATGTCCGGACAATCATACCATCGGTTGATAATTAAGACAAAACTTTTTTGATTAAAATTAAAGTTTTTTTTGCGTGTGTTTTGAATGTAAAGCACGTGTTGTCTGTATTTTTCGTGTATAGACTGTAAACATAAACATACAGTGTTTGAAGGGGTCGTTCATTTATTACGTACAGTATGTGTGCGTTTATATTATTGTTGTGAATTGACAATGTTAACTTTATTATGGTAGTTTAATTTCAATTAAGCGCCAGTGTTAATTATTAGTGTAGTTTATTAAATAATTTTGAATTGTTGTCACCATGTTCAGTAAATAATGATAATATTTTTTATACCCAATAGTAACACTTTGTTATATTTTATACATGCAGTTGTTTAAATACCAAGTTTTTTCCCACTAATGTTAAATTATCAATTTAATATAAATAGCCTACTCATGATAAAATGAATCATTAATACATAAATTATATAGATTATATTTTTAGATTTATTTTATTAAACTGCATAGATAGTTATTTTGTTACTTACATGAAATATATTTTATGTATAGTTACAAATAAAAGTACAATTTAAATTATAACCATGTTAACGTGGTTAATAATTATAGCGTTATGCGCTAGGTCATTTATTCATACGAGTGATACCACAAACACCGACATTAATAACCCGTACGTCGACGTGAACACCAGCTCCGGTACAGTGCGGGGCCATAGCATCCGTGTGTTGGGCCAACCAATCAACGAGTTCTTAGGCATACCATTCGCTGTGCCACCGGTGGGTGCGCTCAGGTTCGCCAAACCCCAGGCCATACCGGAACCGTTCAAAGTTATTGACATTTTCATTAAGCTTAAATAAAACTAACAATTAACCTTGATAAAATTAATTACAAATTAATTAATTTACTTGTCAAGGATGTAATCAACTCAACGGTTCCCAAGAACTCGTGCATTCAGATGAGATACCCGTACGGAAACCCATTGACCATCAGCGAAGACTGTCTGGTGCTAAACGTATGGACACCACCGGCAGATAGTGGCCAACCATTGCGGCCAGTGATGGTGTGGTTCTATGGCGGGGCGTTTACAGTGGGCTCTATATTCATGTCTGCGTATAACGGATCAGTTTTGGCCACACATGACGTACTGGTGGTGTCCGTCAACTATCGAGTGAACGCATTCGGCTTTCTATACACCGACGACCCGTCGGCGCCCGGAAATGTGGGCCTCTATGACCAACAACTGGCCCTTCGGTGGGTTCAGCAAAATATCGGCCACTTTGGCGGCGATCCGCAAACGGTGACCATTTTTGGCGAGTCGGCCGGCAGTTGGTCGGTGTCCGCACACTTGACCTCACCCTTGTCTAGGGGTTTGTTCCGGCGAGCGATTATGGAGAGCGCCGCCCAATTGGCTAATAAGAAACGCCCGATACTTACCAAAGAGGAGGCACTTGTTGTGGCCAAACAGTTGGCCCGCAGTATGAACTGTACGGATGGCGCGGGAAGCGAATGGTTAGAGTGCTTAAGAGGTGTGGACGCCATGAAGTTCTTGGATTATCACCCGGACAGCACGTATGACTGGAATCTGGTTTATGGCACAGATGTTATGCCGGTGACAGCGCAGGTGGCTTTTGATCGGCACGAGTTTGCCAGCGGTATTTATTATACAGTAGTATTTTAAACTAGATTAACATTTACTGTATTATGTAGTATCTTACTTTTTTTTATTGATCAAGCTCATTTTTCAATTGAATATTGCTATAGATGTAGACCTATTGGCCGGTGTTACCGCTCTGGAAGGCTCGGCACTGGCCTACTATACCTATCCGGTGCTACAGACCGATAGTGTGACCAAGGCCGATTTTACTAACCTCGTGGTTAAATCCGAAGCTATATTTCACACGGAAAACGTGGTAAACATTACCGACTATTATCTTCAGGGCATCGATGACCACAACTCGTCGGCCATTCGGCGGGCATTCTTCCAGTTTTACGGCGATGTCCTCATCACGTGTCCGACCTATTTGTTTGCCAAACTGTTCGCCACTTACAGCCCGAATGGCCAGTCGCCGGGCGAGAGCACCGGTAGGTCTGGTAATGTGTTTTTCTATGAGTGGAATTACGGGTCGAGTCCCGGGGCTATCGATGATGTGATGGGTGTCACACACGGCGCTGATTTGCGGTACGTGTTTGGTCTGCCACTCACTGAACGCGATGTTAATTATACGGAGACTGACCGCCGGTTCGCCCGACAGGCCATGACTTTGTGGACTGATTTCGCTAAATATGGGTATGAGTTGTAGTTGTGTTCTCTCTCTCTCTCTCTCTCTTTTCCGGTCAGAATGTTATCACTTTAATGAAATTTTTTTGAAGCCACTATAATATAAAATATATTGTTTAGACTTAAACTTTAGGCAAACTATAAATAATTATTGGACATAAGATAATTTTA